AATTTTCCTTTAGTCCTTATTAGTTTTTTTGATGTATTAATCCAATTTATTGAAAAATGAAAATATAAAGTTAGAAAAAAGAAAAATAGATAACATGAAAAAATAAACCTGAATTTAACAAAATTGCTATAAAAAAGATTGTATCATTTCTTGCATCTATTATTTTAACAATAGCATTTCACTTATAGAAAATTTGGCTTATCTATACCATGGCTTCTTTATATAAAAAGCCTAAATTAATATCTTCTTTGCAAACTATATTGTATACAGCATATATTATATCTTATACCTAAAAACATAAAACAAGACTAGAAAAAGAGTGCATAAACAAATCCAATCCTTTGACAAGATTAATCAAAGGTCTAAATATATGAAATATTGCTATGATTGATAATATTAACTTCAAGGATATTGTTTTTAAGTATAGAAATATATATGATGTTATGCAGCAATCTGCATATGCCACTCTAAAAATAGTGTTTCAATTTGAACTTTCATTCAATCTTTCATCTCTTGCTTAAGGAAATTCAGAACCTCAACAAAATTTATTTGGTCAAACATTATTTATATCCAACTGGAATGAGAATTTTGATAAAATAATAAAACATTTAGTATATAGGTATAATAAAAATTTTGGAATTGAAGAAATAAATATTGAAATACTTTCTACAATCGAATCAGGGTGTTGAGTAAATCTACCAAATATTGTTATATTAAAACCCAGACTAGCACCTAATAGTAATGAAGCTGTGTTTAAATTAATCGATATGTATTTAGAAGACCTTGAACAAAATGTTATTGATTTAGTATATGATATAGCTATTTTTGCAAGAACAAAAAAATATACAAATAGCAACTTAACTTGTAGATTTATTCTTGAACAATAGTATACTTCAAAGGCCATATGCAGTGCTTTGATCGCAGCATTTAGTGGATATGGTATTTACAGTATGGGTGCAAAGCTTGGTGTCTGATTTCATGACAAATTAAAGCAAAATATTGATTACTATGCAACTTGTAGAGTATTGAAATTAATTCATACTGCTGTGGGAATTGCAATTCATCTTTATTTAAATAATAACAATATATTGTTAAATACAGAAACTATATTTAAAAGAGATAAAAATATTTTAAAAGTATGGTATTTGTATTATTGTTTAGCTGGATATTGGAAAGCTCATCATATTGGTATTTGCTTGGATAATGCAGATATGCAATTAAAAAGCTTGGCAGCATTTGCACTACTATTTCCTGCTACTAGTAAAAATATTTATATATTATCAGTTGTAACTTTTTTAAAATCAGTGTCATGTAATCCACAGCAATATGAACTATTCAAGCATATTGCTTTGGTAAATATTACAAGAGAAAACCACTACTTAGCTTATAATGAAGTCTTGAAGCAATATGGCATTAAATTTGTTAAGCAAAATTTAACTTCTGGTTTATCAGATCCAAATACTCTTAAGCAGAAAATAACAGCAATTCAGGATGAATATAAAAGACTATTGTTACTATATGATGAGTTTGTAGAAGATAATGTGGTTAATACAGAAGATCGAGTACATCAGCAAAATGAATAGAGTGAAATATTTCAAAATAATTTACAAATCATAAAAAAGGCGTAATATTACGTAAAATATTGCGAAATATTATGAAATATAAGATTATGAAATATTACGTAAGATATTACAAAATATTGCATAAGAAATTATGCAAAATAACATAAGATATTTTGAAATAATTCAAAAAAGTTTGAGTATAAATAAGATATTTAAAATAATAAATTAATTCAAAATATATCAAATCATTAAAAATAATATAAATACATTAACCTATCGAACATTGATAATTATTAATATATAAATCTATCAAATATAAATAAGTGTTAATAGTATTAAAAACATATAATAATATTTTATAAATTTAAATTAAAAAAAAATCGAATTAATTTAGGGTAATTTAAATTAATTCGAATTAGTTCAAAATATTTTAGAATAATAAGTTAAGTGTATCATGTAAGATAAATAGAAAAATTATAATAATTGATAGTTTATTATATTATATCAATTCAAATTAATTGAAATATATAAATCTATTAAATATAAATAAGTGTTAATAATATTAAAAACATAATAAGGGTGTGGTGGCTTAGTGAAGTAGTGAAGTTGTCGCATCCCCAGATGGCAGGTCTAGAGTTCGAATCCCACAGACAACATTTTCGAAAAATAGTCCTATGATATGGTTAACGGCTATTCAATGATCAGTAGGATCTAGAAATCTGTAATCTCAGTCACACCATCTAGAATAGGAGCCTTGGCGCAATAAACTTGAGATACCAGAAGAACTAAAAACCCATTTGGCAAGTCCCGAGTTGGGATGTAGCATGATCTTTGACGGTACTACAGGAGGATCGAATTTGGAACTGGTGACTGAGATCAGAGAACCAAGTGACCAAGTCCTTAAGTGGGGAGACATACTAGCCGAATCGCCGGGCTGCCAAAACTAGAGAAAAAGGACATATGCTCTGGAAGCATGCATCAAGAGAAGGAAGACCATATAGACATCTAAAGTCTAGATGAACTAACCCTTCCGGGTTGCCGGCTAGAAGTAAGGGAGAGACCGATAAAGAATCCGGAAAAGAAGAAAAGTTTGAATGTGGGTGCTGGGGTTGTGTAAACCCAATACAAGGGCAGGAGTATGTAACAACTACTAAAATAAGAAGGTTGTGGTTTGAGATATGGATTGGGTTACAACAGTATCCTAAAAGATAGCTTGAGACATGAACTCGGTAGCGGCAATACAACAGGTATTAGATTAGGAAGAAGTTATCGAATATGCAGGTAAATACATGTGTGGGACATGTACTGCTTTGTTAGATTTACCTTAAGGATAAAGTAGTTCTAGGTAGGGTGTAAAATCTATAGGTGTCACAAAATCTAGCATATGAATAGTGAGTTATATCTTGATTAGGTAAGAAATGATAGGCCAGATGTGACTAGAGAGTTTAAATAGGTAATCCTCTAGTTGGGTTGCAGATATGGCAGCTAGTGTAGAATCTTGGGCAGACTACTTAAATAGGCAACCAAAAGTTGCAAGTATGGCTAGTTGTACTCTTACTTGTAAAAGCTAGAGAGCTTAAATAGGTAATCTCCTAGTTAGATTGCATGTATGGTGGCTAGTGTAGAACTTGAGTAGACTACTTAAAATAGATAACCAAAAGTTGTACATGTAGCTAGTTGTACTCTCATCATAATTGTAAATATTGTTAATTATTTAATAAAAAGCCCTGGCCATAGAGATCACTTAACAAAAAAAAAAAAAAAAAAAATTAAAAACATAATAATATTTTATAAATTTAAATTAAAAAAAAAGATTAAATTAATTTAGAATAATTTAAATTAATTCACAACAGTTCAAAATATTTTAGAATGATAAGTTAAGTGTATTGTGTAAGATAAATAGAAAATTATAGTGATTGCTAGTTTCTTATATCAAATCAATTAAAATTAATTGAAATAAATAACCTATCAAATATAAATAAGTGTTAATAATATTAAAAATATATAATAATATTTAATAAATCTAAATTAAAAACTGGTTGAATAATCACTTCTTGATAGAGACAGATTGGTCAGCCCATTGAGGCTTTTCTCTTTGTTTTTCTTTTTTTATATTCCCCTGTTCTCCCATTTATTTTTCTTTTTGATTCCTATTTCATTTATGTGTTTTTTTTAGTTTTAGTTTTCTTTTTGCTTCTTAATATTAGTCCTGTATTGGTGATACAGAATTTTACTTTCTTTTGCTCTCAGTAAAGAAAGAAAGATTGAAGGGATTAGTTCTTGACGGGCTGACAAGGTCTTCTGACACGTATGTAAGTCAGTGCGA